GTTACCATATTGCGCTAAGCCCTAAAGTCTAGGGAACAGTCACACTGCTTCGCGTCCTTCGTTGGTGTGGGTGTATTTTGCCGACGACTGAAGTTTCCTAAGCAGGACTTTATCCTACAAGACTCGGTTGTAAAAGTCTGCACAGTTATATAGACAAAGAAAAAGAGAAGAAAAAAAAAGAATCATGTCTCGAAAACGGAACATGATTCTTTATTGGGACAAAAAGACGGGACGGCAGAAGCGGATCTCAAAAACGGGACTGCCCCGGCCAAAACGGGACGTCTGGTCACCCTAGCCACATTATCATTACAAATATACTTCTGGTCACATAAACTCGTAATTGAAAAAAAAAAAGTTTTTTTATTATCCCCGGGCCATACATCGCTCCAAAATTTATTTTAATGATTTGTTCAGTCGACTGTTTAAGATTCCCCCTCCCCCCCCCCCCTCCTACTTCGTTTGTTAAAGGGCCCATGAAACGATTTTTGGGTTGGGATAAATCATTTTAGATTGGAATTTTACGAATAGCACATCGTTCAGTGGACCAAAAGAAAAAAAGGTAGAAGGTCAAAAGCCCGACTTTCAGTGCGAAAATTTGAAAACAGGGGACTATTTCGTACCTCCTCCCCTTCGCAACCTCTCTGCCTTTTCACTGTGATACATCCGCGGTCTCAAAAGCGCATCATCGGGTCCAAACTGACGTCACACGCAACCGGACCTCACTTAATCCCTTCACCCCTAAGCTGACATTGTGCTGGAAGCTACGCGCTTGCCGGACCAATTAGCCGCCTCCCTTTCATCACCTGACTTCATTCTCTGCAGCCACATTTGCCACGCTCACGTGGCAAATGTGGCTGGCCCAACGAGCACGTAGCTTCAACAGCACTGTCAGCTTCGGGATGAACGGGGTGGGGAAAGCAACTTTTGTCTGAATTTTGAACGACCGGCTAATCTTCTAGGGGGAGAATGGATGTGTCCGGGATTACACAAACCAGATTCCGAGCGAGAGGGGCCTCCCTTCTTTTCGTCTTCTTTAACTGTTTGGTGGAATGGGCAATTTATGAGTTGAGGAGGAAAGCTAAACAGGAAAAAGTTGGAAAAGCGTTTCATGACCCCTTTAATTAGAGAAACGTATTGCAATGGGTCGACTGTTTCTTCAAACATTTTCCAAATATATTTCTCACTCCCGGTTATTCTAAAAAAAAAAAATCTTTCTAGTGGTTCCTTTGATTTGTTTGTTTGTTTTTAAAGATTTTTAGCTGTAATTATTTTGTTTAGTAAGACTCATTTATTGTGTTACCCACGCACTAAACAGCTTTGCTTTTGCTGACAGTCACATCTCCCGCATTTCAGCTAGGGTACTGAATACGGACTTTTAAAAGTATTTTTTCGTTTCAAATTACTTAAAATCTTGTGTATCACGCCATGGTTTTCGTTGTCGCCATATGCGGCTGCGGATTGGGAAATAGTTAGATTTTTGGTTTGCGATTACACTTGTAAATATATCAGCTTGAACTTTAGAAATAACCAGAACACAAAGACAGGAAGGACAGGATATGACACACAGCTGACTACCAACGATGTTTTAGTGTAAACTTCTTCCTTGCACTTTTGCTCCTTCCTTTTGAGTCTCACAAATCGTGTGAGCATCAAATAGGGCAAAGTTTTGAAAAACAGATGTGCCGCCTACGAGATTCGGGATATCCAACTAGTCTTATGGTGCCAGTCTGTGAAAACATCTGCAAAAAATTGAAGCATACAAGGCAGGAGAACGGAGACGCAGACAAAACTCGAAGGAAGATCGTGGTGCTACCGTACATTCATGGAATTACCCACAAATTGAAAAAGACTGCAGCAAGAAATGACGTACAAGTAGTATGCTCCGCGCCCAACAAAGCATACTATATGTGCAGTGAACTGAACCGAAAAAGAAAGAAAAAATTCTGCAACACGGCCCACAGAACGCAGTATCTCCCATGCACAACAGGAGTGGTGTACCACATTCCCCTGTTTTGCGGGAAATGCTACATCGGCCAAACAGGCCGATGTATCAACGACAGAGCCCGTGAGCATGCAGAGTCTCTGAAGGGTACAGCGGCAGGACATCTGGCAGCTCATTGGAGGACATGCCAGTGCAGTGTAGCTTTGAACAGTACCCCCATTCTTGCAAGAAACAACAATCCTCATGCACGCAAAATGCTCGAGGCGCTCGCCATCGAGGAGCACGCCAAGGATTGTGTCAGCACGCCATCAATCACCATACACAAAAAAGAAAGACAATAACTACGGAATGTCACGCCCCAAACAGCAACAGCAAAAACAATAATTTGCTAGGAATACTGTGCAAATGATTTGTATATATTTTTGTATAAGTGTAAATATCAGAAGTGATCTTTAATAGTTTCTGTAACTGCTGCGATTGACGGTATTTCTTGTAGGTTGTTTTTTTTTTTTTTTGCTCTAATTTTTATTTAATACTGTATAATGATGACATTGATTGCCTTATTCGCGTGTGCTAAAATGACTAGAAATGTATGCCTTTATACAACATTATGTACCCCCTCCTACCACATCTCCCGAAGAAGATAGTAGTATCAATAAATAAAAATAAATAAACAAAATAGTGGAATAGGGCAATTTATATAATAGGTTTATCGCGCTCCGCTTGGGACTCAAAAGGAAGGAGCAAAAGCGCAAGGAAGAAGTTTACACTAAAACATCGTTGGTAGTCAGCTGTGTGTCATATCCTGTCCTTTCTGTCTTTGTGTTCTAGTTATTTCTAAAGTTCAAGCTGATATATTTACAAGTATGTACCAACAAGCGCAACTCTGAACCGTTATGCGATTACACGGCGGAATCGCGGTATTCCGGGAGAAAGTGACGTGTTCTTTTTTACTTCTGGTAAGAGAAACGTACAGCGTTCAAAAGCTGCACGGCATGAGAAACAAAAGCTCATTAGCGGTGCTGCGCAGCGCGTTTGAAACGTCGACCTTGTGGTGGTTCCAATTTTTAGTATCGCCGCTTCAGTGGCGATAGTGCTCCACTACAAAAGCACAATCCGTGTCTTACTTTTTTGCACAAAGCAGCCCCATGTGGGAGGGGAAGCTCAGTGCTTTCGCGCAAAGCGTACGCCAAAACAGCTAAGTCGGAAAAAAACGAAAAAAAAAAAAAAAAGAAAGGAACAGAAGAAGACGGAGATGGGGAACCGTTTTGACGGGGCGGTTTTTGTGTGTGTTGTGTCTTGTGTGTGTTTGGAGGGGAGGGGGGTACGCCATCTGTGGCGAGTACCGCGCCATCTGTTGCGAGTGCCGCGCCAACACGGTACTTAGTTTGCCCTTCTTCCGCAACGCGCCGCGTCGTTAGCGTCATCGCGATGTTAGGAGGAAACTAGAAGCTGCACTTCCCTGACTTCTGAGGCGTGCATCTCCGCAGTAAATGAGAGAAATGAAAAGTAAACGCGTAGACCCTAATATTAAAACGTTACTGACGAAATAAATTCAGCAACATTTTATATTCAGTTGTAAAAGAAATTTCTTTAAATAAATAGCTAATATCTGGAAATATCAGGAAAAAGCTTCATATGTATTTACTGCAGAATTATTCTAGTCAATGGCGCCTTTTTCGGCCCGCCAGTACCGCCGCCAACGCTGTCTCTGCTGTTATCCTGCTACCGCGCTCGCGTTCTCCTTTCGGGAGTGTTATTTTCACTTTTAAAATTTAAAGATTATAACCGAGCGGACACGAATGAGCCCTTCTCAAGTCTGTGCAAGCAAGCAAGTGCGAGTCTCGATTTAGGACCGGTGGTTGACAGCCTCCGGCTCGCCACTATTCTCCATTTCATCGAGCACGGCTACAAGGGAATCGGAAGGTGAGTGACTTTTTGGAAGTTAGACGTTGGGCTGTTCTCAGGGACAGCGAACAATTGTGTTTTTGAGGCCTGAGAACGTGAGGGTGTTGGAGCTGCTGTGTTGTCGATGTGGACCTGACGCCGCGCCGTGCAGCCCGGGTACGGTGTCAGAGGGCTGCTTCGTCTCTCGGGTGCAAGCGAGTTCGGCTAGAACTCCAGCTATGTTTGGGGCCGTGTGTGTTTTTCCCCTTATATGTGTTCCTCAGTCTCAGGCTTTTTCAATCATAAAGTAGGCCAAGGAATTTGCTCTCCAAAGTTTAATCGTATTTTTTTTTTTTGTGCGTTTTATTTACACATCGAAGCTACTAATGTTTCACTTCGTGTGCAAATGAAGCAGAAGCTACTAGCACAAGCATGTTCCCCTGAACCTTTGCTTGCACTGCACGCTCGCGCGTGCTTGGCGGGGGCGCTGAAAGCCTCGCGTTTAGAATAAAGTGGATCATGGTGGGTCAATGTGTGCTTTCATGGGGCATAGTTTGGTGCTGAACTCGAACCTGCAGAAGCAAAATGCGAAATAGCGCCTATACCGTATTTGCATTCCTACAGTGGATTTCAAGCAGGTGCATAGTGCACAGTGTTTAGCACAGTAAAATTAAAGATTCTCAATTAATCAGATATATGTTGTTGTTAATACCATACATAAACTCTGATGTTGATTTTATACTATCTGCACACACATGAAGGCACACCACCATGTCTGCACTTTTCTTTGGCAGTTTCGTGATTAACATCGCTATATATATCCTACCTCTGAAAAATGCATGCACGTCTGCCCTCTTGCAGAGCACATTCTAGTCCAATCACTGCAAAGTGCACCCAGATGATTACGGGCCTACAGTATGATGCAATTTAAGAACGTAATTTCACCATGGATATGTTCAATTTCCTTGCACGGATCACTTTCTTGGTGCCTCGTCGTACACTGGATGCACTCCATAGATGGCAGGAAATGGCCTACTGTGGATTTGTGAGAAAGAAGGTGTGCAACTACATTTAACACTGCTTTTGTATTTGAGTGGCACTCCACTTTTGAGAACAAATTTATTTTTGACTTTTTATTAAACCCATTTTTTTTTTTTTTTGTATTTTCACGAAAGGCCAGTGAGCGGGCATTAACGGAGTCAATGGACCATAAAAATGCCCCTGGTAATTTCTACTATGGAATGTGCTAACCTTTTTTACTACCAGTCAAGTCGTGTACAAGGCAAGTTTGAGCATTGTTATGTGCCTATTTGTTTGCAGACCTGTGAAGCAACATTTTTTGGTAATTAGCCACAAAATTACAGTTCAAAGGCTTGTGTTTAGTGCCTATTTTTCAAGTATGGAACCAGTGTTGTATAGGCATCTTTAATATTCACCTCAGGTTCAAACTGTGTGGCAAATATGGTAAAATTTCCTTAAAGGGAAGCTACGGAGCTTCTTGGAAAAAATGAGTTAGAAGTGAATTCTAGTGTATTTTTACCCCGTGAACCCGAATACCCAAACCATTTGCTGCGTAAGTATTGTTAAAAGCGAGAAAAACGCGAAAGACAGTCGCTGTCCGTGACGTCATCGACGGCTCTTTTGGCTGCCCAAGGCTAGGGGGGCGGGGCTTCAGCCCTATTTTGAAATTGCTGTTGTGGCTCTCCGGCGCGTCGCATTGAAATATAATTTTGATATCTGTTATTCTAAAGGCCAAATGAACGCAATTCAAGCGTTTTTTCTCAAATCTAGAAGTGCCCCATCTTCCCTTTAATGAAAGTTACCTGCACTCATCCCTTCACATGGTTTTGCTAGGGGCACAACATGTAGAAATAAGCCCTCCCCCCCGGCAAAGACTACACTCTGTTACAACCAAAAAAAGTGCAAAAATGAGACAAAGGACGAGTGAGAGGAATGTACACGACAGGTGCTGACTTACAGCTGAATTTTTATTGGGAAGAAACATGAAATCCTCAAACCACGAAACACTGCCAATCTTATCAATGTGATTACAATATTGCTTTATAAGGACACCGTTAGGAAGCAATATTGTAATCACATTGATAAGATTAGCGGTGTTTCATGTTTTGGTGGTTCGAGGGTTTCATGTCTTTTTCTAATAAAAATTCAGTTGCAAGTCGGCGCTTGTCGCTTACATTCCTCTCACTCATCCTTCGTCCAATTTTTGCACTTTTTTTTTTGGTTTTAATGGCATCACCAACTCGCCCAAGTTACCACTCTTAAGGCGCATTCCCACCAGCGATGTAAGCAGTCGCGCTATGCGACTGGATCGCATCGCAAAAAAGTTAGATGGTCACACCGGCATGCGCGATGAGCGAGTCCAACGCCTTCGTTGGCGAGTTGTTTCTCGAAAACTCTCGCTCCGAATGCCGTTGATTGGCTCAGCCGCTCCGCGACTAGATCGCATCGCAAAAAAGTCGGGTCAAGTAGCGACTGCTCAAATCGCGTCGCTTTTTGCCCGCGATGGTCGCTTTTGCGATGAAAGTTATCGCGCGACTAGATTGCATCGCCGGTGGGAACGCACCTTTATGGTACACTCCGCTTCACCATAACTTGGCTAAGGGTGAAAGCTATGGCCCCTGTGAGCCAAATAAAGTGACAGAGCAAAGTACATGACAGCACTCCACGGGAGGAATGCTCGACGGCTACATTGTGATGTAACTCGCTCTGACTGTCTTGCGGGGCTGCAGCGTTTGCTCTTTGCCATGTTATGGTAAAATAGTTAGTACCTTGCACTATGCTATTCGGCTAGTAAAAGGTTTTAAAAGTGTCGTGAAGTTTGTCTACTCATACTTTCTTCAACTTGATTTGTTAGGTCCATACGGTGTAGCAAGGGCTGCCCACCACACCAGGGAGTAGCACCTTAGACCATGCCACTCAGCTACAGGTACGTTCCGATTCTGGTGTGAAAGTTGCGTGCACTCATCTCTTCTTCATTTTGGTGCAGAAATGACCTTGCCATGCCAGGGACGAACACCTTACACTACACTACTCAGCAACAGGTAACCTCCAAGTGTTGCAAAATTTACCTTCACTCATACCGATACCGTCTCCAACTTGTTTTCTTAGGGCCATACGGTGCAGAGAGGACCTGCCCACGCCGGGGATTGTCACCTTACAGTATGTTACACAATTTCAGGTACTTTCTGGATGTACTATGAAATTTCCCGCACTGATACCTTCTTTGGTTCTTTGTTAGGGCCATGAAAAGACAGCTGCAAGATGACACAGGGCAAGATGATTTCCCAATGTGTAAAGATTGAACACCAACCTCCGAGATGAATCAGAAGAGTAGGGCCACTAGAAGCACCTGTATGGTTAGGACACTAGTGTAGTAATAAAACCATATTGCCATTATAAATTGGCTCAGGGTCGTCCTTTGACTGGTTACAACATATCCAGGCAAGAGTAGAACGGATTTAGGCATGCCATCTGAATATCCAAAACTGGTCTGCAGAACAGAATTGCACGTACGTCGGACATCCGCAATGGGATCCCCATTGCGGATGTCCGACGGACGTGCAATTTTGTTCGCTTGGGCGCTCTGTCGGATGTCCTGGGGATGTTCGTCGGACGTACACGGATGTTCGGTGGATCTGAATTGGATCTCTATCGGATGTTCCCGGGATATCCGAAATTGGCTTGCAGAGGGATCCCATTTTGGATGTCCAACGGATGTGCAATTTTGTTCGCTTTGGCGCTCTGTCGGATGTCCTGGGGATGTTCGTCGGACGTATACGGATGTCCCTCGGATGTTCGATATATCTGAATCGGATCTCTATCGGATGTTCACGGGATATCCGAAGAAATTCTGCCCTGTAGAAATTGGCTCAGGTTAGTTCTTTGACTGGTTTACAAGATATCTGGGCTAAAGTAGAATGAATTCAGGCATGCCATCCGAATATCCGAAATTGGCCTGCAGAAGGATCCCATTTTGGATGTCCGACGGACATGCAAATTTGTTACCTTTGGCACTCTGACGGATGTCCTGGGGACGTCCGTCGGACGGCTACGGATCTCCTGGGGACGTCCGAATATCTTGAGCGGATATCTATCGGATGTCCAATGGACATCCAGTGGTTTGTTGGGTTGTGAGGGCGGCGAGGGCCGTGAAGGCGGTGAGGGTCACGAGTGCGTGAGGGGCGTGAGGGCGGTGAGTGGCGTGAGGGCCATGAGTGCGTGAGTGTCGTGAGGGCCATGAGTGAGTGAGGGGCATGAGGGCCGTGAGGGCGGTGAAAGGCGTGAGGGCCGTGAGGGTGGTGAAAGGCGTGAGGGCCGTGACGGCCGTGAGGGCGGTGAGTGCGTGAGGGCCGTGAGGTTCAGTGAGGGTGAGTGAAGGGCTGAAGGTGAGTGTGACTATGAGGGTGAGGGTGAGTGAGGGGCTGAAGGTGAGTGTAGCTGTGAGGGTGAGGGTGAGTGAGGGGCTTAGGTGAGTGTGGCTGTGAGGGTGAGGGTGAGTGAGGGCGACCTAGAATGCCGACCTCTGGACACAAGACCAAAGAAGGTCGACCTGTATTAGCACTGAGCATAATTTCCCAATCAATCGTGCTAACCCATGCGCTCCCCCGCGTCAGCAGCTGCACCTAACACTCCGGTGCAAAGCGGTGAAGCTTGACGCGTGCGCCTTGATACAAGACCGTAAAGGTTGACACGGGTGGTGCAAGTGCCACGGTACACAGCAGCCATTGCATGGAGGCATGTGGTAGACATGATAATAAAGTGATATCATCAGGGGTAAAAGGCCTTGGTTTCAACATGTTACAGCAACCGTAATCCCACTACTCTGCACACTTCTTATCGTGACCGCTCCTGACATTGCCGGCATTGTCTGGAAATTCAGACGATGACGGGGTCAGCGCAGTTGACCCCATCATCGTCTGAATCGTCTGTACACTTTGTTTCATCTTAAGCCAAAGCACAAGTGACACTACGAATCAATGGAACCAAGCAGTGTCAAAAGCGTGGCGACACCATGGCATTCGTTATCTATCTGTGCGCAGTGGCGTATCAACTTGTTTTTGAGTGGGGGGGCAAACCAACCCCCTTCCCTCCCTCCGGGTCGCGTATGATATGGGCCGAACTTTTGCCGAATCATGGGATTCGGCGGAGCTTTTCTAAAGATTCGGCAAAAATACCCTGTTCATCATCATCATCATCATCATCATTCATCATCATTTATTTTCCTTGAGGGCCCGTGGGGAATTATACAAGGGGGTGGCAATAGAACAAAAACAAATAGAACAGTAAACACAATTATAATACTGCAAGCAAGCTAGGTAGGTTAGATAAAGAGAGGGTAATGGCTTCAACAAATTTAGTAGTATCACTAATACAAACAATGTTATGAGGTAGTGAATTCCAATCCTCGACGGCCAATGATAGTGTGGAAGTCTAGTGAGAAACAGTTGATGATCGAATTGAACGCAATTTACATAGGTTATCTAGACGCGGGAAAATACGAGGGGGGTGATAGCAGCGATTCTTTGAGATAGATATTGTGATAAAAATATTCGATGGAGGAGAGAAAGACGTGATACTTGGCAGCGAAGGGAAAGTGAATGAAGGTTAGCTGATTGGCGTAATTCTGATATGCTGGTATAGTGAGTAGTTGCTATAAATAAAACGAAGGGCTCTATTTTGGACGGATTCTAGATTATTTGCAAGGAAGGACTGCCATGGGGGGACCATATAGATGAGGCGTATTCTAACTTCGATCTTATAAGAGTAGCATACGCTAGTCGTTTTACGGAGGGTGTAGCAAGTTTAAAGTTACGGCGCAAATATCCAAGAGAACGGTTAGTACCAGAAATAACAGAAGTTACGTGAGTAGTCCATGATAGGTCAGAGGTGAGATGGACACCCAGGTTTTTATATGATGAGCTTGCTATTACTTGAGTGTTAGGTAATTCAAAAATGGTGTGGCACGCGAACTGCGTGAAAATGATAGGGATCTACATTTATTGAAGTTTAACGTCATCTGCCATTTTTAACACCAATGGATTACACACTCAAGGTCTTCTTGGTGACCATGATGATCATAGTATAAAGAATGGGTCGGTAAATGACACAATCGTCGGCGAACAGGCGCACAGAAGAAACTATGTTAAGGTGGAGATCATTACTATAGATTGGGAACAGAAACCCCCGGAATTTCTCCCTCGTGTGAATACCCCTTAAGGAGCTTCGCCCCTAAAAGGAAAGAAAAGAAGGGGGAAAACATGTATCACATTATGACGAGGATGCCACCTGCATACCATACATTCTGGCAAGCTCTCGTGACTGCACCGTTTGATGGCAGTGGGCTGCGCACACTGAGCGTAATTGTCAGTTGTCAGTCGATGTTTCAACTACCTCGTTTCATCAATAGAAACGTCAAATGAAAATCACGTTATCCAGAATGCATCACATCATTTGTCACTTGCGCAGTGGACTGCGTAAATTACTGGTCGATGTTCTGTTCTTGAGGCAGAAAATATTGAAGAGAACCACACTCGCGAAAGCTCACAAACGCACAGTTACCGTGTCGCCTACTCCACACCTCGCCGTAACCGCTAGTTGTACTAGACTGTACGATGGTCACCGCGCGACTGCGCGGCGTCCATTTGCGATCCATGGCCCGTCGCGCTCGTGCGCGAGCGCAAAAAAATTTGGTGAATTTTTGCCGAATTTCCGCCGAACTTTCCTTCTAAATTTCGGCATGTGCGGAATTTTGCCGAATCTGAAGTTCGGCAGATTCAGTCCATCACTAACTTTTACGGCACAGGAAATAGACACCCTAGCAACGACGCTCACGCCGGATTGGCTGCTCGGCAACGCGCGGGAACTTAAATTTCGGCTTCGGACAGCGCGTGTATATAACCCCCCCCCCCTTTTCCCGCCTGCGTTTACGCCGCTTCACGGCGACAGTGTGCGGCTGCTAATTACAAAACTATTAACCCACTTAGCCCTCCCCCCCCCCCCCTTCTACCCCCGTAAACGCCGCTTTGCAGCCGGCAACCCAAGTCCCGCTGTCCCCCTACGATTTAGTTCAGCGATGTTTCGTCGACAACATTTTTCTTTTTTAGTGTTAATCGTAAAAAAGAAATGTCGTAAATACCGCCAAATGCCTCGACAAAACAAAATGCTGAGGAAAAAAATAAATAAAAAAGATGCCCACACCCTGGTTAGAACCTGGGTCTGCTACATATGAGGCAGACATCTTACAACTAAGTTACGATACCGCTTCGGAAACTCGCATTGTAACCACTGCCTATGTTGACGGCGGCAGCGCTTATCTCCACGAACCAGGCAATCCGGCGTGAGCGCTGTTGCTAGAGTTTGTATCGCCTGCACGTTAAAAATATCCCCCCGCGGGTCGGGGGGTGGTGCCCTTGGTATTACTTGGGCGCCGCCGGCCAGTGTTTGCCCTGCCCAGTGGCGGCTGTTTCAGGGGGGGGCAAAACACATGCCTTGCCCCCCCCACTCTGAGAACTGGGGGGGCAAGCGCCCCCCTTGCCCCCCCGGTTGGTACGCCCATGTCTGTGCGTGCAGGTTCATCGGCTAAACCAACCGAACGCAGCGAATGTCCCCTAGAGTTGCGCTTCATGAGAGTATATGTTAAGCCTTTGACTGTTTTATAAAAGATGAAACAACCTTTACAGTGGGGAGGATAGATGCTGTAAAATGCATATAATTTATTTTTATTTTTTTAAATATTAAAATAGACCAAATTTAAAATATTTTTATTTCTTGTTTTCTTTGTAAGTCCACCTTGGCACAGGTATGGATGGCACAATTCTTAGCAAAAACGGTGCTTTGGTGTAGGTATAAGTGAAAGTATACTGCCCTACACTTTTTTTGCACCGGTGCTGGTAAATTGAATGAAGCTTGTGACGAAGAAAACCGTGCTCCATCTCTGATGAAAAGACCCCGAATGCTTTTTGAAAAGCATTTGCGCTCAACCCTGGCTGAACCAATATTGGCTGAACACCTGCTAATACATGCCTTGCATGGGACATCATATGGCACCGTACCAGCCACGATTGCTCCGTACCACGCTCCTGTGCCCGTACCTTCTGCAGCATAATCTCACAAAATTGAATTTGTTCTTCTTGGCAAGCCTTACGGGGAAGAACACCTTCGATGGTGCCAAATGCATGCAGCAGAAGTTGCAGGCACTGGAACATGGTTCGGAGCAATGGCGGCTGACATGACATCAATGCAAGCCATGTATTTTGCGCAAGTGCATACTAGTTGAACTTCAAACTTCTCCCCAGCACTTAAACGTCCACCGCAGTCGAATGTCATATATATAAAGGGTATTTTATTTAATTTTTTAAGCTTTACGATTTGTTTAAAAAAAAGTGGTAAAAGTTACACTTATGTGGTTTGCGCAGGTGAGTTATACGGCCAGGGGGACATATGTGGGTGGATAATGTTTGCGATAAGTCGGCTAATTAATTCAAATTCGTTAATTAACTTTTTTTTTTAATTAGTGAAAATAGAGATAAGGTTCTAATTAGAAACGTACAGAGCGTCATAGAAAACCACTAAATCAACTCTCTTTAGAATGACTTGAAGCTTGTGGGAAACTCAGGGGCGTACCAAAGTTACCACTTGTGAAGCAGGCGCAAAGCTCGCAGTGGCGGAACGTGATAACATTCTGATCATCCACATTTTAAAATAAATTGTTAAATAAAAATAAAATAAAAAATTTTAAAAATAAGAAAGGGGCTGGACGTTTGTCACATCAGGTCAGAAGACAGTGCCACTGTCAAAACATTGACAAACGTCTGGCCCCTTCCTTATTTTTAATATTTTCCATTTAACAATTTATTTTTGTAGGTTCTTGTGTTTAACTTTTCCTTTAATTCAGTGTACTCTCCGCGTTTCTAGCGTTTCTGTGTCTAGCTTTGATTATTCTAGTAAATTAATACAACTTTTTTTTCTTCGGCATTCTACTCTTTTTTTTTTGTGTGACTTTTTTCGTCATTAAATTATATATATTTTTTTTTATCATCCCACGGCTGCAGTGTCTGTGCACCACTTTTGCCTATATATCAACGGAAGCATTTGTAAACCTTCACCATTTTCTATATATATATATAGAGAGAGAGAGAGAGAGAGAGAGAAAAAGGGGGGACGTCAATAATAAACCAGATATTACAGGGTAATTAAAAAGAAAAATAAACTACCATAGTTTTTATTTGTAAACAAAAAACTATGGTAGGTTTTTTTTTTTGTTTTTTTTTTTTTCGTTTTAATTATCTTTCCCCCCCCCCCCCCACCCTTTTTTTTTTTTTTTTTTCTTTTTAGCTTTAGGACTTCTGCACGCATTCACTCACTGACTTTGTGCACGCACGAACCTGCACACGTTTTTTTTCTTCTTTTAGTTGTGCGATATACCTGAGAAATCCGCGAAAACCATCTGGATGTAGATCGGGAATGAGAACTTCTCCTTTTTCGGGCATGCTGCCGTAGAACATGGTCTCGAAGACGTCATTCCTCATGGCCAAGATCAGCTTGTGAGCCTTGATGCGCGTGCATGGGCAGTCGCCGACGAGAAATTCCACATCTGAGTGCAAACCATCCAACAAGTACTTCAAGTCCTTCCTCCTAGGACCACGCTGCGGCTGTAAGGTTCATTCAACATCGGTTAATATCCAACTAGAAAGCGGTTCAAAGGAGCGAAGACTTACGGCGTCAGCTGCCATGGCAGAATTCGGCAATCCTGAACGTTACGTCTGCATCAAGAAACAAAAATATTACATTCCACGGATCGGAAGTGTGATTCACGTACCTCCGAAAGGCAGCAAAGGAGAACTACCATGCAGGCTCAGGCGCGAAATGTGACATGAACGAAGCGAGTACTTGCACGGACAGACTCAAACACGCGCGGGCGACTGTTCTTCCGTTTTCGTGCACGCCCAGACAGAAAGTTACTCCATGCTCTACGCACAAACTCAAAATGCACAACGTTAAAAAAAAATAATAATAATAAATACTGATGCCGAAATATTTACAGAATATTGCGAACTGTTGCCATAAACAAAAACCGTAACAATTCAATATCGAAGGCAAGAACGCATACATACGCAGTTCGCGCCACGGGGCCTGACGGGGCTGTAGCAGCTACAGCGCTACAGTTGCTACAGATTCTGGCAGCTTCTCTCTTCTTCTTCTAAGCGTTGTGAAAGATGGTGGGGGGGGGGGGGGGGGGGGAGGAGAGGGCCAATAGTGGTTGCGCACCGGGCGCTTGGTCACTGGCTCGGCAGCTTCTCAGATTTTCGTTTCACTTCTGTTTCTCCAAGCGCGCCTATTGGTTAAAATTTTGACACGTGACCTGACCTTGATTGCGTTGGTCCTCGGTACGTCACGGATGCTCTTTCTCGCGCTCCATCGCTCACCACGTGCCACGTGACCTTACGCTCCACGTGACTCCATTCTGTTTTACCGAAAGGCCGCGCGACAAGAGCATCGGTTGCGGCGGTTGCGGTGCATGCGGTGCATCGCTGGCATCGCTTGGTGGCTGCGATCTGTACGGTCAACAAACCAAGAGTCACGTCCTAACGCCTCTCCCACTTTCGTTTGTTGGCATTCCCAGCTTTCGCTTTCTTTCATGATAGCCCTCTATGCGGATGATGGCGCTATGGTTTGTGCCTTCAGCGCACTTGCTTTGTTGTGCCGAAGTTGTTGTTTAAAAAAAGATCGCAAATTGTATGAAGAGTTGCTTGGCCACTATCCAATAGACCTATTGCAAAACGTACAGCGCCACAACGGCAGGGATTTTTGGGAACCCTCAGTACTTACATAAAATTGAAAGAATAAAACACAAAGGACAAGCACAGGACAACCACTTTCTTTCAGTTGGCAACGACGTACGTTTATTTTCGGCAAAGACATTGCACCCTGAGCGAGACCCCGACAAGATAGGTTGATAAGGGGGAAGGCTTACTGGGAGATGGAAAGGGTGTTATGGGGGACAGAAAGGAAACTTGGGAGATGGAAGGGGTGATAGGAGAAGGAAAGGGGGAACCATGAGGTAAGGGCGGAACTACCGGGATGTTGTATGATTACGGGGAGTTGCGATATGAGATGGAAGGGGTGATAGGAGAAGGAAAGGGGGAACCATGAGGTAAGGGCGGAACTACCGGGATGTTGTGTGATTACGGGGAGTTGCGATACTCCCCGTAATCACACAACATCCCGGTAGTTCGCCCTTACCTCATGGTTCCCCCTTTTCTTCTCCTATCACCCCTTCCATCTCCCAGTTTCCCTTCCCCTTTATCGCCTTTCCATCTCCCAAGTTTCCTTTCTGTCCCCCATATCACCCTTTCCATCTCCCAGTAAGCCTTCCAGACCAAATCGCGATTTTCGTCCGCGGACCGTGTACCACGTGACCCGCACGTCACCGATTCCTGCGATCCGCGCCTCCTCCGCGGAGGCGCGGACTGATAAAGTCGAGCGCCTTTTTCACTCGCGGACGTTTGGCGGCAGACTGACTTGGAAAGCATTTATTTAGTCTGGCAACGGTACATAGTTTTCTTGGTATTTTGCTTCTGTGCGTTCAAAACAAAAATGGCGCGTCGTTGCGTTTTGTGCGTGTGTTGGTTCATTTTGTCGTACGAGTCTTGGTTCCACGCGTGAGAGAAACTCCAGAAACTTTGTCCGGCTGACGCGACGCAGGTTCCGGTGCTCCTCCGGGTCCGTGTCAAGAAGCTCCCGTCAAAACTAGTCTAGCCCCAGACAACACCAAACGTCCCTCGGACGTCCTAAAAACGTGCGAACGTCCCACGTCCTATTGCTGACGTCCCACGGATGTCCGGGGCGGCATAATCCGGAACACGTCCCAGCGCGACTGTGATCAGGACACGCTTTTTTTTTTTTTTTTTTTTTTTGACGATTACAGCAGCGGCTTCACGCACTGTCACCGCACAAGATCGTGGCTCGTATTGCAATCGTCGCTTTTGGTTCAGCCGTTAGAAAAATCAGTTTCAAGTTATTTTGGGTTTTGATCATCCGCGCTTGCCGTACAGTCGGCGTACGCGCCCCTACAAATTGCACCGCCCTTTCTCCGCAATAAATGTGCCGGCGTGCAACCACGGCGAACGGAGGGAGCCAAAAACAGAAAAAGCGACCTATCGTATTTCTTGAGTCTTGTCGCCAACAGAATCACTCGCGTTGCTTCGCAGACACACCAAGAGCAAGAGCGATAGTAAAAAGCCTAAAGGCAGCTCTTTTAAATTCTCAGGCACACAAGAACAAAAATTATGTTAAAAAATGAACCGCTTTAAATACATTCGAAAGCGGAACTATGGCGAAACCGAAACGGTCCTAAAACTCGGTTAGTTTCTATTTTTAATTTCACAATCATTTTTATACCATATATTTATATATTTTTACAAATTATTTTTTTTTAATAAAACATAGATAATTACATTAGTGAAATTAAGTAATGCAGGCAGAGCTTTCAATCGCCACCGCTGTGCAATCATCATCATCATTAATAGCGTGCGCGCGGGAAAGCTGCAGCCCTGGCAGCCCTACAGCCGACTACAGCCCGGAGTCCGGAGTGCTGCCGTGCTGCCGTGCTACCGTGCTACTGCGCTACTGCGCTAACCTGACAACTCACTAGCCACCATGGCTGGAGGAAGTAAGTATGATTTAACGTTTTGTTCGGAGCGACAGTCGGGATTTTTACCAAACCGGTCCCCTGATCCGCCACAGCGGTATTGAGGCTCGCGCTCCCCCTTTGAAGCAGCGCGCGGCCAGAGGGCTACCGCGCTCGCAATAGCCAACAGTAACGCTTTGCTAATACTCCGTATTATGTGACATGACTTTAGGCCGAGTAATGAAAGTGTTACAACATTTCCATCGTTCGCAGAGCTTGGCTGTTGCAAGACAAGGCGAACCACTCGAAGATCGTAAATATGGACAATATGGCTGCTCTACCCAGAACAACAGCTTATCGGCGCGTTCGTCGTGCGGCGGAAAGCGATCTCAAACTTATACTGTCAGTTAGTAGAGAAAATGCAATGTGCTCAGCTGAAGCTTTGGATGAGGCTTCTGTAGAAAGGCCCGCTGGGTCGCCGGAACTAGTTGCAGGAGCGCCGCAAAAACACGCGGGATCGCCGGAACTAATTGCAGAACCATCACGTCTCTCGTATCAGCAAGATGTCCCGACAACGTGCTGTTTTTCTGAGACTGTGCCTGATACTCCGGAACCGGTCTTCGGTGCAAGCGCCATTCACTCGAGACGAGGCGTCCCTGTAGATTCGGAAGGCTTGCCTTACAGTCGTGAACACCATTTAGAAAGAGACAATCGAAGGAATGTCGAGTTGGATGAATTGTCTGAATCAGAGGAATCCGACGTTTCACGTTTCAAGGAAAAGCTGCGGCGGTGGAGCGTAGAGGGGGCTGTTCCTCATGATACCGTTACAAAGCTCCTGAAGATACTGCACTCGCATTCTTGTTTCTCAGACCTCCCAACATGTGCCAGGGCACTTTTGTCTACACCAAGAGTCACTGATAATGTGAGGCCCATGGATTCCGGCCATTACTGCCATTTAGGCTTGAGTGAGGGGCTCAGGGCAGCGCTGCAACCTGTGCGCAATATACCAGATCCAATAATCCTTCATGTGAATGTAGATGGACTACCATTGACGAAAAGCACGCGGGATCAGTTCTGGCCCATTCTCTGCCAAGCTGCTAACTGTGCAGGCAGTGACCCATTTCCAGTTGGTGTCTATCATGGCCAGTGTAAGGCTCTTCAGTCAAATGTCTTCCTTAGTCCGTTTGTGTCTGACCTGAAAGGTGTTCTCTCTGAAGGTGTTGCTATTGGCAACAGGGTCTTCCGAGTGCAAGTTGGAGCAATAATCTGCGACGCGCCTGCCAAGTCATACATTCTTGGCACCAAAGGGCACAGCGGCTACTTCAGTTGCTCAAAGTGCACGACTGAAGGAGAATTTGTGCGGGGACGAATGTGCTTCCCTGATCTTGATGCTCCATTACGAACAAATGCTAGCTTTAGGCGTGCAGAGCAAGAGGACCACCACATCATGGAAACTATCTTAAAAGAACTTCCCATAGATATTGTTGACCAGGTGCCACTTGACTATATGCACCTCATCTGTCTGGGTGTTGTGCGCAAGCTTGTACTCCTTTGGCTGAAAGGTGATAAAACCTACCGCATTGGAAGTGCATCAAGAGATTCTGTGTCGGGAGCTAACATTGAAATGAGGCACTATGTGCCACCAGACATGTCTCGGAAGCCACGCAGCTTGTCCGACGTTGATAGGTGGAAAGCGTCAGAATTTCGCTTGCTTGTTCTTTACACGGGGCCAGCGGTGCTGAGGTCAAGGATCCCCAAGCCTCTGATGGACAACTTCATGACACTTCACTGTGCAGTCACCATACTTTGCAGCCCATTACTCTGTAGAGAGCACTTAGGGTATGCAGAAAGGCTCTTAAGGCATTTTGTTGAGACCTACATAACACTATATGGTAGACATGCAGTCTCTCACAATGTTCATGGCTTGATTCATGTGGCAAGCGATGTAAGAGTTCATGGACCTCTTCACAACTATAGTGCTTTCCCATTCGAAAATTACATGCGTAAACTCAAAAGCTATGTACGCAAACCAGAAAGGCCCTTGCAGCAAGTCTACAATCGAATCGTAGAAGAACGATTTTTGGTTGCATCTCCTGCTGTCAACACTGGAGAGTCGGCAGCATCGACTCCACCCGTCTCCTCTGTCTTCCTTGGAGGAGAAAGTTTCAAGCTGACAGCAAGGCATGAAGGTCGACCATTGCCGCTCGGATGCATTGGACCTCAGTACAAGACCGTGACGTTTGCTGCTGGCATCACCATCAAAACAAACAAAAAAGACTGCACTTGCATGTTAAAAGACAAGAGTATCATCAAGGTTGAAAACATTGCACGCACTGCAGTGAACTATCAACCAGTGTTGGTTGGAAGGAGGTACCAGAGTCTAGAAGACCTTTACAGCTATCCCTGCAGTTCATCATTGCTGAACATCTTCCTTGCATCTGAACTGT